GGAGAAAACTAAGGAAAGGGGGAAAGAATAATTAAGGAAAGTCAAAGAACAATGTAACCCGTTTCGAGACACATCATAAATAAGCCCAAAATCCAAAAAAAAAAAAAAAAAAATTATAAATACGACATTTTTATTGAATATTGGAATTTACTACTACCGAAATAAAAAACAACAACAACTGAAATAAGGAAAGAACGACGGAAATAAACAAAACTTCAAGTCTAATGTCAAAAAAATCAAGTTTGTGCGACATCTCGAAATAATAAAGTTAGCTAACTCGCTAGTGATACGTCAACTTGGTTCTCGCGAGCCTTTTATGATCAGAATTGATTGGTTTAAGGAAGATTACCTAAATCGTATCGTTTTTATTGCCATAGCTTTGTAAAAAGCATTTTAGGTCTCGGGCTGAAAATTTAACGGGGTGTACCGCGTATGAAAAAAATTAATAAAGTGGGGCTATGGGTTACACAACACAACTGGTGATCTGATTCATTAATCACGCACGCGCTAAAACTAATTCACCCACATTCTCCGAATATCTCATCGTAGATTTTTATATTAATAATTTTCAGGGGTAATGCCATAAATCTTGCACACTTTTTAATTAAAAAAAAAATTTTTCTAAGATTTTTCTTAAAAAAAGTGGATAAGGTTATTTTTTTTAAATATTTGTTATTTATACATATATGATCTACGTTGTAAGCTTGCCAAATTCGCTCTAATATAATTAAGATAAATCAGTCGGCCATTTAGAATTTATTTTTTGTTTAGTAAATAAAAATTTACCTAGTTTTTGGATTTATTTGTTTATTATTAGTGCAACGGAATAGAAAATAAATAAATTGAGATTGGTTTTTGGTAATGATTTATTTTGATGATGCAAAAAAAGGTCCAAAATGCGCAATTACAATAACTCTTTTTTCATACCTCTTTTTTTTTTCTTTTTCCTCTTTTTTTTAAAAAAAAGCAGGGAGAAAAAGGAAATATTTTTTAAACTTGAAGGCTTCAACTACTAATAATAAGCCTATTTTTTTTTCAAAGGTATAAGGTACAAACAAGCCAGGCGGATAACAAAAAGCAAAGCAGTTCTGAATAATGGGATGATTTTCGCAGCAATTAAATATCGGTTTCACAAACGATTAGACGCTAATCAAATTTGTATAATGCATGAACCTGATTTCTATAAATATTGTATTAACCACTTTTTTTTTTTTTGCAAATTAGAACGAATCGAATAATTATGTCAAATATATATGATAACGTGCCAGGAGGATCGTTAAACCTTAAAGGCGACTCTGGAACTCCAAAAAAAATAAAAAAGTATGATAAAGTATTTTAATAGATCTATGCACAGAAAAAGTTCACAAAATAAACTCGTGTATGGTTTTATAGGAAAAAGAAGAAAACCCAAAAAGACAAGGAAAAACTTAAATCGTACGCCAAAGAGTTGATGAGCGATGATGCTACATCATCAGAACCTAAACCTATTCGGGTAGTTACAAAAACCGAAGCTGAGCTAAAATTTGAAGCGATTCAGAAAAAAAGGGTTGGTATTAACCTCAGAACCTATCGTATTTATTTCTCATTTATTATTGGTATTTATTTATTTATTTATTTATTTGCTTATTTGCTTATCTCTTTTTCTTGGTAAATAAATAGCTGGAAGAAAAGGTGGAAAAGGCAGCACGAAGATCACACAAGGAACGTGTGGCAGAATTGAACAGAAAATTGGAAGAAATGACCGAACATTATGATATTCCAAAGGTAATTCGTTGTGTATGATTGGTTAAAAAACTTTTTTAATTATATTAACGTCCTTATTTATATTTATCATAGGTTGGACCTGGTTAAGGATTCGTCATGATCCGATGATGATTCTTCTTCATCTTCAAGTATAACATCATATTTCTTTCCTCGAATTCCAAAAATGCCCCAATTTGTCCAAACACCAACCCTAACATCTTTCAAGTCGATATCTCTTTTCATACTTCTAAATACATTCTCACCAGGTCTTAATAACCAATCATATTCATATTCGCCTTGTTCTCCTTTTTCTTCTATAGCGCTAACTTCACTATGTAAATCATTTTGATCAAATCCGGTAATAAATATAGCACATTTGGTTTGTAATAATTTAAGTAATGATTCATGCCAAGAGTTTATTTGTGAAATCCCTGGAGAGAAGAGAAAGAATACATCCGTGTATGGATCAAATGGTGCTAGCGACGCGTGATAATTGTGATAATATGATTTTGACCAAGTGAAGGAAAGTTGCGGTGTATAATTCGTATGTTTTACCACGTGGGGTGAAGACTTGTCGTTATTGTGAAGGTCTCCGGGAAGTGATTCGGGGCCAATGAAATAGATGTGAAAATAAATGGAAGGGAATAAATATGATAATTGGGAATAAATGTGAGGAGGCAACTGAGATTCCGCTCGTGGTCCTAATATGAAAATACGAATCACATCTGTTGGTTTCTGAACTTTAATATCATGAGAGGTGATTTTAGGGTATAACGTTGATCTTAAAGCGAATAAAGATTTTAACCCTTCGTTTGTTAACCGATTATTTGTTGTATAAGGTCCATATTCATGCAATACTGATGATATCGTTATTGGATATGTCAGTAATTTGGATACGTGTCTAACGGATCGATTATTATCCATACTTGGAAATCCACGTGTATATAAAAATGTGTCCCAATTTGACATGTTCACTTGTTCATCAAGTGGTTGCGACGATGGAAATTCAAATTCAATCATTCTTCTACCGCTTCTTAAATCGTGTTCATCTTCATTAATTTGTCTCAACATTGAACATGTTTCAGAATCTTTATGCTGCTCTTTATCTTGAAGGTAATGTTCTAATGAACAATGCGTTGGAAATCCACAATCTGGACATTCATACTTTGGTTGATTTTTTATTTCACTTTCTTGAGATGAACATACCGGACATGAGCCGAATACGCATATTTGTTTGTATCGTTGTCGAAGATCTTCGAATCTTGAAGTTGATAAAGGATGAAATAGATCATCTTGTGAGAGGATTGGTTTCGTATTTAACGTCGAAGGTGTTGATTTTTGACGAGGGAATATGGATTTTAATGAAATATATCTACGAGTGAGATTTAAGTAGGGGAATGTGTCATTTAAGCATTTATTCTTATTACGAACTGAAAATTGTTGTTTAACCAATGAATTATTTAATCGAAAATTATTTAGTCGAGAAACGTATAAGCGAGACATTTTTGTTCATATACCAATGCTTTAAAAAAAAATTGGTGCTGTTGAAGGTATCTCGATGGATGCTAGTTGCTTCTCCCGTTTAAAAAATAATCAATCGACTCTTGTTGTCAACGATAAAATCTAAATTAGCCGACGGTTCAATCAAAAATTTTTTTTTTTTTTAATCAGAAATCTATATTTACACGTGACAATGCCAAGTAAAAAAAAAAAAAATTTATTTATTAATGATCTACTACTATTTTAATATTCAAATAATTACATAAGGTGGAACATTTTCACGCGTTATTTCAACATTACTTATTTATATTATAAACGTTGTGTTACAACCCATTTCCATATTAAAATGCCATTTAAAAGCAAAACGTTTGATGTAAATAAAAATGTATGAAGGAAGAATAATTAATATTTTACATAAGGATAACGTTAAAATAACAAATGGTTATACTCTCAATGAAAGCATTCGTATGGAGTTGAAGTCGAGGTTCACAGACTCAAATGTGCACGAAATCATTAGTAAAGTACTAGATTCTGATCTTGAAGACATTGGAAAACGTGTTGAACCCATTAACCTAAACATTAAGAATATTTTGGTGACAGGTGGTGCTGGTTTTATGTAAAAATATCATTTCCTTACGCTTTGTGAAATTTTCAATTTTTTGATTAATTTCTTTTTTTTCCTTTAATAATAAAAATCTCTTTTTTTTTTTAATAGTGGATCTTTTTTGGTTCGTAAATTAGTCATATCATATCCGGAATTCAATATTGTTGTAGTAGATAAATTAGATTATTGTGGTAGTTTAAATAATCTTAAAATGATTAAAGGAATGCCAAATTACTCATTTATTAAGGTAATTCATCTCATATTCCATTATTAAAAAAAAGTAAGGAGAGAACTAAAAACAAACCAAACCTCCCTGCCTTTTTTTTTGATTTTAGGGAGACATCACATCATCAGATTTTATGACATTTATTTTAAAAGAAAAAAAGATAGATACGATATATCATTTGGCGGCACAAACACACGTGGATAATTCATTTGGAGATTCATTTGAATTTACAAAAAATAACATCTTGGGAACACACGTATTATTAGAAGCCGCAAAAGTACATAATATTAAGCGTTTTATACATGTGAGTACTGACGAAGTATATGGCGAAGTAGCTAAAACGAGTCCTGACTGTCATGAGGAATCTATATTGGCTCCTTCAAATCCTTATTCTGCCACAAAAGCTGCTGCTGAATGTTTAGTTAAAGCCTATCATAAATCTTTTGGTTTACCAATTATTATTACTAGAAGTAATAATATTTATGGTCCTTATCAATATCCTGAAAAAATTTGTTCAAAATTCATTTGTAGTCTTATACGTGGTGGGAAATGGTAAGGGATGACCTTTCTTTCTTTTTACAAACGGTTATTTTTTTTCATTCTAAACCTTACCTTCCTTTTTCGATATTTAGTTATATACATGGAGATGGATCAAATTCTCGTAAATATCTATATGTTGGTGATTTAATAAATGCTTTGGACTTAATATTACACTTAGGTCATATAGGAGAGATATATAATATAGGAACGAATTTTGAAATATCAAATTTAGATTTGGCCAAAATTTTCTTACAACAATTTAATATTAGTGAAAGAGATCAACATAATTATTTAGAATTTGTACAAGACAGACCTTTCAATGATCGCAGATATTCTGTGGATTATACAAAGTTAAAAGAACTAGGTTGGAAACCTAAGGTTAGTTGGGAAGATGGAATTAAAAAGACAAGTAAGTTGAAAAAAAATATATATTGGAATTTTAATCATTTGATAAATTTACTAATTCTTTTTTATTTTTCGCATGTGGAAATTCTAGTTGCTTGGTATAAAAAAAATTGTGAAAAATGGTGGGGTGATATATCTAATGCGTTAGTACCACATCCACTTAAAACTTTACCTCAATCATTGGATGATTATAATTATTTATAAGTTTCCCGTTGAAAGCAAACAACGTAAACACGTATAATATTAGAGAACGATATTAAGTAACAGCCTAATTACATTTACTTTTAATTAATAGTTAATTAATTTAATCAAAACATTCATTAGAGTTGAATTAATCTTTTAGATGTTGAATATAGAGAGGTATTAAATACTAATTTAAATTTAAAAATTGAATCATTAATAATTGTAATCATAGAAAATTAAATGAATATCACATGTGTAATATAAAAATAGAAAAATCAAATTGATATAAATTAGATTTTAAATTTAGGTTGGATTTGGTCTGTCTTTTGTATTAATATTTCAATTATTAAAATATTTTACTATTATGGATTATTTAATTATATAAAATTTATTTACAAATACTCAATATAATGTTTTACTAACATATAAATGTTGATATAATTTGTATAACAATGATATCTTTTCAAGATTTTCAATTAAAAAAATTGATCTACAGTTCTCGAAAAAAGTAATCGGAATTATAAAAAATGTAATAAATAAAAAACTAGTGATTGAAATTACTTTAAATTTTAAAGATTTGTTGATAAATATATAAATATTATGTATATAAATTTCGGCTATTTACTTTATCTCCTTTTGTCTCACAATCACATTTTTAATTAAAAAAAAATCATTAAAAATTTAA